CTTCTCCCAGAGCTAATTGGAGCCAGGAGTGAGCCAACCTTGACTCCAATCAGTGTGATGATATTGGATGTGTTGCTGACAGCTGTCCTGCCCTTAAAAAACACACACCTGTTTTGGGTTTACTGGTTTCAAGAAGCACTGTCTGATGTGAACCATGCCTCGCAGAAAAGAGCTCTCAGAAGACCTACGATCAAGAATTGTTGACTTTCATGAAGCTGGAAAGGGTTACAAAAGTATCTCCAAAAGAATTGATGTTCATATGTCCATGGTAAGACAGACTGTCTACAAATGGAGAAAGTTTAGCACTGTTGCTACTCTCCCTAGGCTTGGTCGTCCTGTAAAAATGACTGCAAGAGCACAGCGCAGAATGCTGCATGAGATAAAGAAGAATCCCAGAGTGTCAGCTAAAGACCTACAGAAATCTCTGGCACATGCTAACATTTTTGTTGACACATCTACAATAAGGAAAACATTAAACAAGAATGGAGTACATGGGAGGACACCACGGAGGAAGCCATTGCTGTCCAAAAAGAATATTGCAGCACATTTGAAGTTTGCAAAAGAGCACCTGGATGTTCCACAGCACTACTGGCAAAATATACTGTGGACAGATGAAACCAAGATTGAGTTGTTTGGGAAGAACACACAACACTATGTGTGGAGAAAAAAAGGCACAGCACACCAACATCAAAACCTCATCCCCACTGTAAAACATGGCGGAGGGAGCATCATGGTTTGGGGCTGCTTTGCTGCCTCAGGGCCTGGACAGATTGTTGTCATTGATGGGAAAATGAACTCCAGAGTTTATCAAGACATTTTTCAGGAAAACGTACGACCATCTGTCCGCCAACTGAAGCTCCGCAGAGGATGGGTGATGCAACAGGACAATGACCCAAAGCATACAAGTAATTCAACAAAACAATGGCTGCAACAGCACAGAATATGCCTTCTGGAGTGGCCCAGTCAGAGTCCTGACCTCAGCCCGATTGAAATGCTGTGGCATGACCTTAAGAGAGCGATTCACACCAGACATCCCAAGAATATTGCTACACTAAAACAGTTTTGTGAAGAGGAGTGGTCCAAAATTACTCCAGATCGTTGTGCAGGTCTGATCTGCAACTACAGGAAACGTTTGGTTGAGGTTATTGCTGCCAAAGGAGGGTCAACCAGTTATTAATTCCAAAGGTTCACATACTTTTTCCTCCCTGCACTGTGAATGTTTACATGTTATGTGCAATTAAACCATGGCAACATCTAATGTTTGTGTAGTATTATGTTCAGCAGACTGTGTTCTTCTATTGTTGTGACTTAGATGACGTTCAGAGCACATTTTATGCCCAATTCATGCAAAACTCCACGTAATCCCGAGGGGTTCACATACTTTTTCTTGCAACTGTACATTGAGGAACAGAAGTATTTGAACACTCTGCGATTTTGCAAGTTTTCCCACTTAGAAATCAGGGAGGGGTCTGAAATTCACATTGTAGGTGCATTCCCACTCTGAGAGACAGAATTTAAAAAAAATTCAGGAAATCACATTGTATGATTTTTAAAGAATTTATTTGTCTTGCACTGCTGAACATAAGTATTTGAACACCTGAGAAAATCAGTGTTAATATTTGGTACAGAAGCCTTTGTTTGCAATTCAGAGGTCAAACGTTTCCTGTAGTTCTTGACCAGGTTTGCACACACTGCAACAGAGATTTTGGCCCACTCCTCCACACAGATCTCCTCTAGATCTGTCAGGTTTCGGGGCTGTCGCTGAGCAACACAGAGTTTCAGCTCCCTCCAAAGATGTTCTATTGGATTTAGGTCTGGAGACTGGCTAGGCCACTCCAGAACCTTGATGTGCTTCTTACGGAGCCACTCCTTGGTTATCCTGGCTGTGTGCTTCGGGTCGTTGTCATGTTGGAAGACCCAGCCACGACCCATCTTCAATGCTCTGACTGAGGGAAGGAGGTTGTTGCTCAAAATCTCACAATAAATGGCCCCATTCATCCTCTCCTTAATACAGTGCAGTCGTCCTGTCCCCTTTGCAGAAAAGCACCCCCAAAGCATGATGTTACCACCCCCATGCTTCACAGTAGGGATGGTGTTCTTGGGATACTTCTGTTCCTCACTGTATACACTGGTTGGGAAGTGGCTAATTGGTCTAGAGTAAGGTACTGTATATTTGCTATGGCTTAATAGTGTTAACCTGCCAAGCCGCTCAGTTTACTGTACATTCAGCATGACAGTCATGCATGTGGACCTGATGCAATTTTCCTACCTAAATAATGAAATACTGTATATGTGGTTTCACTTTTTCTCAGTTAAATTATATCATAGCCAGCCCTAATGTCAGGCCTGCCACCTCTGTGATTTATAAAGAGGAAATGAGAACACTGATCAGCTGAAAATTCAATGTGTGCCCTGTGGTGATTTATGAAATTACTCAGGGAGCGCCATGACAAAAGTCAAAGAGGGTACAAGGTTTGGAATGAGGACTATGTGAGCATGGGTCTGATATATCTGAGAAACAGCACCTGTGAACTTGTTACTGTATTCACACAACTCACAGACATTAGGTAAAAGTGATCTGTATGGCTTTTTTACTTTAACAAAACTTTTACAGGACTGTAAATATGCATTGATTATAGACAATTTTGGGTACTATAGTTTCTACCATTTCTGGGGTAAGTGCAATTTGAAGGCTTAGTATCTATTTACTTGACACATATTTTTGAAAAATTGGATACTATATTTTATTTGTATGCAATTGCAGTGTATTTTCTCCTCAAAAATATAAATTTGATAAACAGTTTTGCAAATATTGTGCAACAGAACAAAATGTCTTTTATACTAAAGGGCTTGTTCAAACTGGACGCAGTTTGAACAAGTAAGGCACACTCCATGTACATTTCCCATACTGCAGCTCATTGCCATTGCAAGATGAGTGTGGGTGCCAAATAATTGTTAATATCACCCCAAATGCATCTTGGAAACCTTTGTGGCCACCATGCGCTTTGGTGCGCTGTGATTTGCCAAAGTAATGCTTGCACTACTTTTGCATGTTCCAGTGCTTTTTGAAGCCCATTGAAATGAATGGGCTGTCAAAGTCAGAATATGAAGGACCGCATGGGAATGCGGGCGCTCTAGTGTGAAACAGCCCTAAAAAGGTCCCCTGCTCTCAAAAAATAAATAATTGTTTAGGGGTTTCGGGTAATTTTCTAGCAAGAATGTGGATTTTAACGTGTGCAATAAAAAAAAAATTGCTCAGGATACAAAGTGGTTAAACAAGACAAATTCACTCAAACCTCGACAAGAAGCTAAAACTAAACAAAAAGCCTTTATAACTACAATAGATAATACAGCACATAAAGAAAAATGAAGTGATAACATATGGCTAAAAGTCACTAGCTCCAAGAAATATACGTTTCATTTTTATTAAGACATGTAAGAAGTACTGTATATCTGGCAAAGTTCCTGGCATTTCTTGTAGATAGCAAGGTTAAAAAGTTAGGTCAAAAAGTCATGCACAGATGAGAGTGGATTCAAACAAAAACACACTGAAAACGATAACCTTATTGAATCTTAATGGCACCATAAATGTGTTCACATTTTATTTTCTCACAATCACTTAAATGTGGGAGAGTCTTTAATAATATATAAATACATTTCCTGGTACCTCCCCTTGTCAGCAGTGATGGGTATGGATCAGGGGCGGACTGACAACCCATGGGGCCCCCGGGCAATAGGAGATCATGGGGCCCCTGTGTCCTTGCCCAAACTCAGAAAAGCCTATGAAAAAGGTACCAGGGGCATCTCATGGGGCCCCCTACTGACCCTGGGCCCTCAGGCAGTGCCCGAGTTTCCAAATGGTCAGTCCGCCCCTGGTATGGATATGCCTCCTTGACCCCTAGACAGTCTCTGTGTTTCTTTTTTTTGTCCTCTGAAAAAGATCCAGAATATTCCAGTGCTTCTATATTTTAAGAAAAGTCCCTTCCATTCTGGTTCAGCCTTTCCCATGGTAAAGAGACTGGTGTCAGTCCTGATCAGAACTTTATTATGTCACCCATGTGGCAGGGTGCACTATGGCTGGCACATTATGCTGCTTTCATTGTGGGCTAGGCATTCTAAACAAATAGATTCTAAGCTATATATCTGTGTTTCCCTTACTCTTTCATTTCTTCTTCCATCAGCCTAGCTGGCAAGTGATGTCACTTCTGGCCTCTGAAATGCAAATTGCATTCTGGAAGTTCTTCAGCAGTTATTTTCTTGTAGCCATTTTTTCTGTTTGAATTCAAACACGTGCATGGGGGGGGAGGGGAAGTCTGTTTTCCCTTTCTATATAAAAACTCACCCCTCTATCATGGCTGTGGCCCTACCTTATAGGGGGACCCAAATCAAACTCAGTGGCCCTTTACAAGGGTAGTGCTACACATGTTTTCCATGGGGTTTTTTTTATACTATGAGGGGGAGAAGATAGGGGTACAACCACCAGAAGAGATTCTCCACCTCACAGAACTCCAGGTCTTTCCCATAATTCTTCATCCTCCTCTTCCCAAAGAAGTCATTCTTACATGTCCTCTAAAGGTCTCTTCCTTCAGAGCATCATTCCTCTACCAGAGAGGACTCCAGGGATATGTTTTGACTTTTCTCTAGTTTCTTTTATTGTAATATTAAGTAGACTATATTGTCCTTACTTGAGAAGTGAGCCCCTACCTTTCCACTGGCTCCTTTGATAAAAGAATTAGTAGTGGATGAATGAGCTTGACTAGAGAATCAGTTTTCAAAAGCAAACTGCTTTGCTTTGCTAAGCTTTTCTTGCTGTTCTGAAGGTCGGAGCAGCACTTATGCCTTTGAGAAGCATGTTACTTTGCCTTTAGATAAAGCAATAATGGTTAAAGATTTATTAGAAGAGTGGACACAAATTTAAAGAAGGTTACTCTCTGGCAAAGATTTCCATAGCCTTAAAGTGATTCTAAAGGTTATTTTTTTGTAAAATAACAAACATATCTATACTTACCTGCTGTGTGCAGTGGTTTTGCACAGAGCAGCCTGGATCCTCCTCTTCTCAGGTCCCCTACAGGCTCTCCTGGCTCCTCCTGTCTGTCGGGAGCCCCCACAGCAAACAGCTTGCTATGGGGGCACCCGCTGCTCCGTGTGTCCATTCTTGCGGCTTGACCCCCCTCTCCTCATTGGCTTACTGGCTGTCATTGACAGCAGTGGGAGAAAATGGCACACACTCACTGTCTTAGCCAATGAGGAGGCAGAGACCTGGAACAGCTGAGGCATTCTTTCACATCGCTGGACCGCAATGAGGTTCAGGTAAGTACTGAGGGGGCTGGGGGAGCTGCTGCACACAGAAGTTTTTTTTTACCTTCATGCATAGAATGCATGAATGTAAAAAACCTCAAACCTTCAGAATCACTTTAATTTTGGTCTCTAAAAGTGCTAAACATTTTGACCACTAACATTGAGCAAGTATTTAAGTCAAGTGTGGAGAAAGCAGAAATTATTTCTGCCTTACAATAAATAAAACTGAATATAGATTTCCTTGTGGAGACCTCTGTAGATCTTGTTTTAACTGTATCTAAAATTATGCTACTATCAATTTTGCCAGAAGGGCCCTACAGGTAAAACCCTAATTGCCTGTTCATTCTCCTAAGCAAGGATTATGCCCCATTCCTTATAATGAAAAATTGCTGTTTGGCGTGCCCCTTGGAAAAGTGTCCAAAGTGCCTTTCTCAAAAATTCCAAGTTTCAAACCATGCCTCCAAGCATTTTTTTAGAGACTTGTGTTCTGCCATCTGCTTAGAAGCTTGCCTCTCTGAGTATACAGTATACAGTCCCTGATATGGGCAAAAGCAGTCATACCAGTACCACCAGAGGAGAATGGCCTAGGTTTTTATGTGACTATGTTCTTAGATAAAAAAATTCACCCGTGGATACAGATCCATGTTAGACTTAAATAATTTGGACCATTTCCTGTGGGTCAGGAGTTTAAAAAAGAAATAAGTGGAGACTTTAATAAAAGTTCTTCATCCAAGCTAATGGTTCCATTTACTGTATTAATTGTTAGGATCTGTACCTCCACATCCACTTTTTCAGGCCCATCAAAATATACTGCAAAATATACTGCACACAATCTGACTCTATTGTTAGAAGTAGAGAGCAATATTTTTTGGGCAGAACCTCACCTCAAAGAATTGGCTACATCCACTAAGTATATGTCAGTGGACAATCCTAGTCATGGTTTCAAAGCTGGTTCATGCCGTATTTGATTCAGATTTTCAGGTGTTGGGGTTTTCCAGACTTATATCTGATGGTCTCTTATTTAAAATGCCCACCTCAAGCCTTGGGACCTCCAGAGAATGGCAACAGATGCCTTTTTGATTACCTGAAAATTCTCAGTTTATATCCCCTGCAACTCCATTAATTCAATGGATATTTAAGAAGAGCATGCAGAGGCAATAGCGATTATTTCATTTTGGCCTTGTCATCCTTGATTTCTGCCCCTTGGCATCTAATGACAGTAGATAACTGGTTTCTGGAGTCTAGAGAAGCAAGGTATATGCTAATTAATTATTTATACACTCCTTTATGACAGGAAAAAAATCCCATTGAAGTATGTTCAAATTAATTTAGCCCATTTTAAGGCTATTAGGAAAAAGATGGTTAAATAAAGGGCATAGGGAGTTTGGCTCGGATGGCCAAGGGGAACTCGTACCAAAAATATATATTTTTCAAATGCTTTTCGGTGGGAAGATGGCCTTTATAAAAGGCTTAACGGGTATCATTAAAAATGCACAATTTCCTTCATGCTTAGTGGATGCCCTAAACCGGCCTGTGAAGTGGTGCACTTGTACAATATACTAAAGCAAAAGTGACATTTAAAAAGAATGACAGTTCCTGGCCACTTTGTCCCATTTAGAAACAAGTGGCCCTGGATTTCTTTCAACATCTATACCAGTGCCCTATCCAGGAAAATGACCTGCATTTTAAGGAGGTACCCCATAAAACAAACAAAAAAATAAATAAAATATGGGGATCCCAGTCATAAACTATACCCACCCCTTATCTAAACAATGCAGCCTGGCTGGCCAGCAAAGGGAGGGGGGTACTGAATGTTCACCCTTTGTCAGGCTACAATATGGGGAGGGGGATACCTTGCCCAGAGGCCCCTATGGCAAAGCACTATGTCCTCATATAGATGCCTTATCCCCATCTCTAACTCTGTGGATGTAGGCGTCTATGGTGGAAAGACTTATTGAACTCCCCAGATATCTGGCTCCCTGAATGTCACACTGGGATATCAGATAGCTGCCAACACACTAGCAACCAATAAAATACCCCCAGCTACTAGCTGAATGTAAACAAAGTGGATGGGGATGTTGTCATGTGTATTTGACTAAATATGGCCACATATTTAAGCTAAAACTGTTTTTGTTTAGAGGTGGATGTAATACTGCAACTAAAAATAACGGGAATACCATGCGGCACTGCTCCGGCATTTGTTCTTCACTTACCTTACCCTGCGCTCCCACGATGTGTCCCCTGCAGCGTCCCCGGCCATCTCCTCCGGCCGATGCCGGCATCCGGCTTCTGTGTCCTGTCCCTGTGACGTCGGGACGTACGGGCGCCGCTGGCGGCGGGAAATTTTAAAATTTTAAAAAAAGTCTTTTTTTTTTTTTTTACATTTTACATAGTAAAACATTGCTGTCTCAACCAATTTCGCATACATCTTGTCCCTAATGCTTTGTCCTGTGCCCTGCCTGCATTTTGTCTGTTCTTTCTGCCTGGAAACTGAGAAATGTCCATGGCGTCCAAAAAGTGTCCCTTTAGGTCAAAAGCGGGTTTAGATCAGCTAGAGAACAGCGATAGTAAATCAGAACCACTTGCAGAATTGAGTGATAATGATTCGTGGGGAAATTCGTCATCAGACACTGAAAACGATTTTGCGACTTTGCTCAGCAATGTGCTAACTTGGCGCTCTATTTCACATTTCAGTGTTTTTGGTTTGATTATATTATTGAATTAAATGTATTATTATTATATTATTATTTTGTATAATTATTTATTAAATTATAATTTATGATTACGTGTTTCAAGTTTTATCATCCCCGGGATGTTTAATAGACTCTTGTTCGGACAGATTTCAGTTAGTTATTCCTAAAAATTACAGGCCTACAATAAAAAAACTACACATTTCCATGCAAAAAAATGGTACCGCTTTCAGCACCAAAAATCGGAAAGAATCATACCGCAAAGGAGGTTAAACTACAATTCTTTTTTTAGTGAATGAGTAGCGGTACCATGTACCCCATACTCATTCACATGGGGGATGGAATCTGGGGGCCCCCTTGCAGTGTTTTAGTAGCATTTTTAATGAATGCAACTTGTTTTTGAAAAATGCTGTGCGGTATCTTATCACATACTTGGATGCGGTAAGATACCGCTTAATGAATTGTCCCCACTGTTAATATAAATGTATTTTCTCTATTTTCTGTACCTGTCCTTTTCTTAGTCATTAATATTGCTACCCCATCAGTGCTGACATGGGGAGGTGTCAGGAACATGGTAAATTGTGCTTCATTATACTTTCCTGTCCTTTCCTGATGCCTCATCATGACACAGCCATTTCAAACATTGACTTTTCTTTTAGGACTATATCTTTGACAACACAAAAGCAAGAGTGAGATATTCTTGCTTATATATTGCTACACTGGGGGGCTCTCAAAGGGTCAAGAGGGTGGAGTCATACCCATTATACTGCCATGGTGAGGCACCAGGAAAGGAAATGTGTGCTAAGTGTAAAAAGAACAATTTTATGTATTACACTTAGTGCCACGCAAGGGCTACTATGCCTATAAAAAATTATCTGTGGTTCAATCACCTTTCAGAGACAATAATAAATGGAGAAGAGGCCTGTTTTAATATGCATTAGACATGGTTTCAGGGGGGTTGCAGTGTGGCTCCATTTGCTTGAGTAGGTTGCATTCAATGGGCGCACGACTAGACGACTCCGTGACCGGTTAAGAGAACATGTAGCCAACATCAAGATGGGCTACAGAGAGCATTCACTCTCTAATCATTATAGAATGTTCCATAACAATGACCCCTCCTCCCTTAAGTTTGTGGGAATTTATGTGATATCACCACATTGGAGAGGCATGAACAAAACCAGAGCCGTATCACAAGCAGAAACAAAATGGGTCTATGAATTGGATACCCTGCACCCCAGGGGACACAATATTGAGATCGATGTTAATTGCTTTATAGCTAATAATTAGCATCTTGCTTACCCACCAATAAGCTGATCGACTCTTTTTTCCTTTATTTTATGGTTTTATTGACTGTACAATTAGGACTGACGAATATAGGCTTTCATATTGAGTTTACGGAATTTTAGGCTATCCTATTCATTTTATGCTATTCTATTCCTTATTTTAAGAATATATATTTTTTTTTTTTGTGAATTAGTAATGGTTATTTTATATAAGGATATATTTCCTTTCTTATATTTATGCATCTGAGTATATTTTATTACATAAATTATTTATTGATGCACCCTGAGCACCTGCACATGCCTTGGATAAATTAGTGTCATTTCCCCCACAAGTTCACCAATTTTGGTGATAAATCACTGAATAGGGGGATTTGCTATTATTATTATCTCCCTGGGACTGAGAGCCACTATTTGTGGCACACAAGCGTTGTTGTATACGCTCGGATGTCTGTGCATAGATATACCTCAGCTATCGTTTTTATCTCCTTGGCAAAGAAATGGTGTCTCTAAATGCAGATAATCCGGTCCTTTTCGATAGCGATGGGGAATTTTGTATATTAGTAATTATCCCCGTTCTTTGACCGGCCGCTAATATAACTGTACATAATAATGTTTTTATTATTATTATTATTGCATTTTGCTACATTTTATGTAATATTTTAAAGCAAATTGGAGACCTGTGCACCCGGAGCACCTTTTTATGCCGTGGGTATGTCAGTATCATTCCCCTTACCAATCACGACCTTGGTGCTGAACTATCTGGGAAGAGGTTTGTGGTTAGAATATTCTGATGTGAATTGGAGTTATTACTTTAATCACCTCCCTTGGGATCATGAGCCACTTTCTCTGGCTCAAATGCACCTTTCAGTGTGCTCTGTCAATGATGTGTAATGCACCTCGGTTGACAGTTCTGTGTATCCACGGTAAAATGGCGTCTTGACGTGCATGCATGCGCAGTTGCCTGGTCTTTCCGAAAATGGCGGCGAGTTAGTGCGCATGCGTGACTTCCGTTTTTTATTATTTAAGCATTTGGCGTCTATCACAGAGCTGTCAGTATCCCCTCTGATGATATTCCTTAGCACGAAAGGCCTCAGGAGGAACTGACAGCCTGTGACGCCTCATTGCCGCTCAGACCACGAGGAGGTCTG